TTTTTTAAAAAATTTTTAAAAAACAATTAAATTTAATGTACTTCCGCATAAATTAATTGCTTTGACATTTCGATGACAATCAAAAACAGCTTAAGAGACGAGGTAATTAAAATTGTAGTCGTAAGAGACTTTTTTTACATTAAAATGCTCTTAAAGCGACACTATATGAGTATATATATATATATATATATATATATATATATATATATATATATATATATACATATATATATATATAATGTAACTCTTAGAAATAATGAATTGTAAAGTATTAACAGTGTTTTGTTTATTATAAACGCCTCATAAGAAGTCCTTTGTTATAGCTTTAGGTTGATTATGTTATGACTTTAGGTCAATTATGTTATGACTTTAGGTTGATTAGCAGGAATAAGGCAACTGCACAGTTAAATATTTAAGGTATCATACACTATCTATCTTAGGGCAGATTTTCACAGGAAAGAGTGAGAACGCAAATCTTTATATGACCATGCAAAAAATAATGTTTTAACGATTTGACCACGGCTTTTGACATATTTTCAAAATTTAAAAATGTGCTACAAAAACTTAACTAAACTTCTCTAAAAAAAGAAATTGTAAAAAGAAAAAAAATCTTAACATAAGAGAAAATAAAAAAAATACTTAGTTAAAGCAAAAACACAAATATATATATATATATATATATATATATATATATATATATATATATATATATATATATATATATATATATATATATATATATATATATATATATATATATATATATATATATATATATATATATATATATATATATATATATATATATATATATATATATATATATAACCTGGCTAAAACAAAACTCATCAAACTAAAATGCTTAGTCTATTTAATTTACGCATTTCAAAAACCATTTCAATTTTTGAATTAACATTTGTACTTTTTTTATTTTTTTATTTAGTATGTTTCAAAAGATAAACATTTCTCATAAAAAATAAATAAAAAAAAACAACAGTTTATTAATACTTATTTTAAAAATTAATTAGAAGTGTTTTGTTACTTCATTGAAAAGCATTTCGATAGTATAAAAGCATTTAAGATCAACTTATTTAATTGTAACTTTTTTTATCAACAAAATTTTGTTTATCTTTTTAAATGTATTAACTTTAATTATTCTTATATTCGTTAAAGAGACTTTTGTGGTCGTAGAATGTCATTGTTTATAAAAACTAGAGGTGTATCGAATATTTTTGCTGGATTTTGAACTTTTCTAAAGTTCTATAAGTGTTTATGAAGAAAAAACAAGTTTTGTCATTCTACATTAAATAGTGTTCAAGATTTAAAAAATTAAAATCAATAAAAAACTGGTATAACACAGGTATATGCATTAATAATGTATAAGGAAAAATCGTTTTGACAGGCAAATTTTTATTTTCTTCAATTACTATTTTCTATTCTGCATCAGCACATATCCTATGTCATACAGTTTTTCTCTTGATTTTTTAAAGAAAGATCTTGAATACTATTTATTGTAGACTGACAAGACTTGTTTTTTCTTCATAAACACTTATAGAACTTTAGAAAAGTTCAATATCCGGCATATCCGGCAAAAATATCTGGTACACCCCTAATAAAAACGAAACAATTTTTTTTATTTTTTAATAACGTTTATTATAGAAATGCACACTTAAACAACTTATACATTATAAATTTAAAAAAAATATACAACTGTCAATTATATTTAAAAAAAAAAACATTATCAGTAAATTGTTACTTTATTTAAAAGCATTTTGCCAATATAAAAACATTTGTTAAGAAGTTATGATGTAATTAATTTCACTTTTTCAGAATATTTTTCATTTAGCGCGTTTTTAAAATGTAATTTGTGTGGTCATATAAAGACATGTCATTGCACTATCTATCTTAAGGTGTCATACACTAAGAATGAGTCAAGTTTTTCATTAATTAAAAACATGAATAAAATATCTAAAACATTAAACAAAAAAACAACTGAATTGTTAATAAATGAATTGAATTGACAATTCAATTAATAATAATATAAGTAAATGTTCATCTAACATTTACTTATTAAACTATCATCTTTGAAGTAACTTTTCATCCGCTGAAATATTAAATCTTTCAAAACTCAGACCTTCTTGCACTTTGTAAAACTAATTTAAATTTGTCTGTTTCAGCTTTGGACCTCAGTGTTAATGGCTAATATCCATTAATCTGTAAATATTTCAATTACTACATGTTCAGCCTGGACGTAAACTTACATTCACCTAATTATTGTGAAATCCAATTCACCTATTTGTTGTGAAATTAGATTTGAACCCTCTGACTTTTTTTTTTTTTTGATCTTTATCACTCTCCTTCTGCATACCTTTTGATGTTATTTCTGATCAAATTGACATTTAAACCATTCTCTGTATCCAACCAATGATGTTGTTATTGGTGACTTTTTCTACAGACTCACCCTATCATCCTATATGATTAAACCTAAGCATCAGACAATAGCTTTTTGCATCAATATATGATTAAAAAAATTTGTTCTACAGAGAATTGTTCTTGCGGAAAAGATAAAAGAAATGATTACAATTACTATTAGCAACCACACAAAAAGCTCAAAGCTATAGGGTAGAGTAAGCCTTGACTGGACATGACTGGACTTATTTTATTAAAATGGGATTTAAAAAAAAGTGATTGATTCACATATAATATATAAAAACATATATCAATTTTGTGTGTGTGTGTATATATATATATATATATATATATATATATATATATATATATATATATACACATATATACACATATATATATACATATTTATATACATATTTATATATATATATATATATATATATATATATATATATATATATATATATATATATATATATATATATATATATATATATATATATATATATATTGTTTTGCTTTAAATTTTAATGCAAAATTAATTTTAAACATAATTTTGCACAAAAAGTTACTTGTGTATTAATGTAAAAAAAGAAAAGGATATTATTTCCATGTAAATTAAATTTACAAATATTACGAGGTCCAGTTCCAAAGTCAAAAATAGGTTCACATTTTGTGTTGAACAAAGTTGCTTTTGCAGGCATAACTATCTTTTATTAAGGAAAAATTAATAAAAACAAGTAAAAAAATAACAATTATTAAAAAACAAAAACAAAAAACAAATTGGCTAAGTTGTAAATAAAAAAAAATTAAATAATAATTTAATCAAATAATAATTTAGTTAATTAGTAAGTAAACATTTAAACTTTAAATAAAAGATACACCCAAACACTACACAAAACATTGTAGAGTTAGGATTCCAATCAACAGAGTAAACAGGACCGCGTTTGTCTAAAGAAGTAATGTAAGTCAAATAAAAAAATAACTATGTTATTTAGTAACCAACTGGGGCTAGAGAACATTAACAAGTGGACCTTCCTTCTATTCACATTCCATCAAAAATAAAAATAAAAAATATATCAGGAAAAGAGTAATAGATTATGATTTAACTTATAAGCTTTTTTTAAAATACATTTTCCAGTTTGATTTTTAAAAACATAAAGTAAGAATAAATAGAGCATCCCCCACATGTCCCTGATAGTAATACACTAAATTTGTTTCTCCAAACAATAGCATTGTTTATCAAGGTTCTTTTTTTAAAGCTATAGGTTTGTAATATTATTAAAAAAATAAAAAGAATAAAAAAAATTAATAACTTTCTTAACTGTAGTGAAACCTTGGAGAAGGTAAATACAGAGAAAAAAAAATCTTTGCTCTATGCAATTCAGTATTTATTAAGTAAACACATAAAACCTTTGACCAATGCTATGCTAAAATGCTAATATTTAATATGATAGTGAATATGAGGAGAACAACGACGACAACAATGACGACGATGATGATGATGATGATGATGATGATGATGATGATGATGATGATGATGATGATGATAATGATGATGATGATATCAGAATGAAACTTTAAACTAAAATATATAATTGTAAGTGTGAGTAACTTGTTATATGATAACAGGACCCCAGCTAGCTACTAACTAAATTGTTAAACTATACCATTCGAAATCATGAAAGACATATCCTTTACCAAATGGGACCAAGCTGCTCTCTCCTTTTGTTGACATAAAGTGTAGAGAGGTTTCTCCATAGTACGATGAACCTGTTGTATCAACCTCAGCGCTGACCATAATTAGTAGAGCACTACCTATTATAGATGTTAAACTTAGCAATAAAAAATCTAGGTATAATTACAAAAAAAAAATTTTTTTTATTATTCCAAACCATTTCAACTTAGTCAGCTTTAAAAATTTTTTTACCTTTTTTATTCCAAATCATTTCAACTTTGTCAGCTTTGAAAAAACTTTTATTTGCTACTGCTTGATTGTCTCCTAATTTAGGATACTCAAAAAGTCTGACAAAAGATGGTGAACCCTAAAAGTCAAAATAAAATTGCTATTGTTTGATTGTCCGATAGCAAAACAAAGTAACTTTAAAAAATTGTTTTTTAGTATTTTTTAAGTGCTTTGGCTTTTCTAGGCAAAACAGTTACAGAATTTTCATTAAATTGACTTGTTACAAGATTTTTATTCTATTCATAATTTTAATATATGGGAATCATTATTAGTTTGTTACACATTTAACTACATTAATTTTATTTCATTTAATTTTTTTAATTTCAAAACCACTTGAAATTTTACATTTAAAATTCTTTAACAAACATTTAATAAAAATAATAATAGATAACTATACCTTTTTCCCCACTGCATGAGCTGCTACCATATATGGAAGTGATGGTGAAGGTGAAAATGTAAACCCAAAAACATTTGGCAAATATAGCTTTGTTGCAGAAGTATCTATATTCAGACAATTAAATTAATGAAAACAGTTTCATTCATTCCATCTTAAATCATCCAGCCACCCACCCTATTGGCTTTGCTTCATTTTTGCATCACCTATAAGTAAGATATAGTTTTGAAAACTTAAACTAAAATTATGAAAGAGTTAGCTGTTCCTAAGTTAAAAATTATCAATATTTACATAATTGATAAAATTGCTTTACTGTTTATCTGTTTCTAAATTTATTTTCATTTATATCTTTTTAAATTTAAAAAGTTGGTACAAGCCAATGTTTTAATGAAGGAATAAAATAAGAGATTTGAAAAAAAAATTCTTTGTAAACTTTTTAGAATTTTTTCAAATATAAAACTAACCATAATTATAAATTTTTATATCTAACTTTTATTATCATTATTAATAAAACTTGTAAGTTGAATGAAGATTATATGTAGAATAATGTAAAAAAATGCAAGAAGTGCCTAGCTCAATTCCGTAATAGTTCCAGGTAGTATCTTTGTCTCAATTTGCTTCTCCAAGAAAAGTTAAAGGGTCGAAAGTGATTTGTGACAATAGTTAAAAAAAATGAATAACCTCCTTGAAAGTGGGTTGTGACAACAGTTTAAAAAAATGAGTATTCTTGAATGTAGGAGTCTCTTGAACTTGAGAAAGTAAAAAAATGAAACAAAACATAGATAAACAATTTTATTGGAAGATATATTAGGACTACCAAAAAGTAGTCTCCGTTTTGGAATAAAACAAAATACAAATTTTTCTTATTGCCAATTAACGTTACTGATCATATTTATCTCTTTCGCAAGAAGTAATAGAAGTGCAAGAATAATAATTATAATATTAATAAAATTTTTTCCAAAAAAGGACAGAACTTTGCGGCAGACATTTTTATTATTTAGGTCAGAAATGAGTCTAATTTTTAACTGATTTCTGAAGACCTGAAATTTTAAAAACTTTTGTTTCTTCTTGACCCTTAAGAAAATGTTTTTTCTTTCTTTTCATTTCTTGAAAATTCAGACAAACTCAGAAAAGACAATTCAGCACCATGACCTACTTTACGCTCAAAAAAGAAAAGTCAAGAAAAAATTAGGAACTATGACACCTATGTAAACAAAGCCATTTAATCATAACTGAGAATATTTTAAAGAAACAAATGGTTTTATAAAATTAAATTTATCATAAAAGACTTTAAATTAAACATGATTTTAAAAATTCAAATTAAATTTTGAAAAAATGTAAAATAGTAAAATGATGAATAGTAAAATGTTAAATGTAAAATGTTAAATGCTAACTGATTCATTACATAAAACATAAATCTCTCCATCATAGATTATCATAAATTATTATATGCAAAAGAAATTAAAAAACTTTTTTTTCTTATTAAAAGGGAGAAGTGCTTTTGTTTAAGATTTTTTTTCACTAACGTGTTTAAAATTTTTTTTTTCTTACTAATTCAATATTGCATAAAGTCCTTTTGACGTAATACATTTATTAATATAAATTGCGTTTACAAATATCTTATTGGTAACTGATAAAATCTGTCTATAAATTGTTTATAATCCTTCAGATCATATTTTAAAAATCTGGAAAATTGTTTGGGTAAAAATATGCAGAAAAAATCTGGAATACTGTTTCCTCTTAATTTTGCATTTAGCTGAATTGTTTCTAATTTTTTTAAAAACCTTTCTTAGTTCTGTTTGAGTGATTAGTGAAAAAGCCTAAAAAAGAAATATATTGCAAAATAATATATACCAAAACTTGAATGTATGGAAAACGTTATGGTTATCCGAAAAAACTAAAAGTTGAGAAAAATATTTGGAAATCCGGAAATATCCAGAAAAAGATAATCCCTGATAATCTTTATTAAAATTACTACCCTATATATTAAAAATTAAAATAAATAAATAAATTGTGATAAACAAACAAAAAAATTATGTTAAGTATAAGATTGTTTTAAGAAATAAATTATGAGGAAATATAATCTTATTCAAATACCCAATTTAAATTTTATTAATTATTTATGTTAAACTAGTTTAAATAATTCTTAACCCAGTTTAAAAATAAATTTAATTACAACTCGATACTTTAAAATACTTTCAAAATGTCAATAATTTTTTTAGGCTACTTTAACAAATAGCTTAATAATTACAACACACGTAAACCAAAGGTTTTTAAAGTATTTGCAAATTGTTTTTTTATATTTGTTAATACTTTGTTGTTCTAAAAAAGAGCGCCTATTTTTTTTATAAAATAAGTGCTCAATTCAAATAAAAAACCTAACAGCGTATATATCGGCATGTGCTTTATCTGAAAGTAGAAAAGTGAATGTTGTCAATAGTTTACAATATTGCTTTTAATTATGTAAATTATTTCTAGTCTGCACTTAGACCTATAATGAAAAATGACTAGAATTTTTTTTTTAAATAGCGACGAGCAACTCAAAAAGTTGGTGGGAAACCAAAATAAACGAACTGGTTACATTTAGTTGCCCCCATGGCAACCAAACATGGCAACCCCATGACGACCAAGTTGCCCCCATGGCGACTAAGTCTGAGTGTGCAACCCTGTGTGTATATATATATATATATATATATATATATATATATATATATATATATATATATATATATATATATATATATATATATACACACACACATATACAGGCTTGGATAGGAATGGCGTGCGATCGCACTCTAACTGACCACGCTAACTGTTTTTTTTTCTTTACAACTTGACCACGGCTATTTTGATGTTTTAACATCTTAAATCCAATAAAAAGTGTTACATTATGAATAACTTTTAATCGTTAATCTTTCCTAAAGTTTTTATTTTACACAAAGGCTTTAAAATAAAACCATATAATTAATTATTTTAATGATTGTTTACATAGACGCGTGTGTAAATTAATAAAAAATGTTATATTTAATTTTTTTTATGTAGGCATGTATTTTTCATGATAAATTTAAACGTTTGAAACTATTTTCCCATGTCTTACTAAAAATCTTTCAAAGCATTAATTTTAGAAAGACTTTTTTTTTAAGTTATTTTAATTTATGAATAAGTTCAAAACTATTTGCAATTACTAGCTTTTACACATTTTATGTGAATTATACAAGAATATAAAATAACTTTATTTACTTATATAAGCATGTATTTTGTTGATTAATGGAAAAGTTTTGAAGCATTTTTTAATGTTTGTATGATACATTTTTGTATTATTATTTTTATTATATTATATTTTTATATTAAACTTACGATGACTTTACATAACATGAAGTAACTTTACGTGAACCATTTAGTAATAAAGTTGTAATGCTCAAAATAATATTAAATTAAGTTGCTTGTTGGCAGTTTATTATATTTAAATCGCAGGCGAATTTTATTTATTTTTTTCCTTAAAAATTTTTTTTTTCCAACTACGATAGGAATGAGTTAAAATCATTTAAAATAATTTTTAAATTCGTTACGAGAAGCGCTTATTAAAAAAGTTGTAATGCTCAAATTAAAATTAAATTAAATTGCTTGTTGGCAGTTTATTTTATTTAAAACGCAGGCGCATTTTATTTAGTTATTTTTTTACTATTTTTACGAATAAAAGAATTGGAAACCTTTTTTTAACTAGACATTAATTAGAGCATGAAATTATTAAAAACTACTATTTTTAAAAAAACTACGTTATTTTTTGAAAGGATTTTTTTTTTGTGCAACTTTTTTGAAAAAATGTTTATACAATTTAAATACAATACTAAACACAACACTTTAATAAATTAGTAAAATTTGTTCATTTATTTAACGATCATTAGTAATAATTTGTTACTTAATTTATAAGTGTTTTGCGTAACTTTAATAAAACATTTAAAAAGATTTATTTCAAACGTAATTAAAATTGTAACAAAAAGTTTTGCAACGAGTTAAAGTTTTTATTTTTTTCTTTTTCTTTTAGTGCTTGTATAGTTTCTTTTTCATAAAGGATTTTTTTTCGTTTGAAAATTTGCCTGATAACTAGTAAATGTTAAGCACTTAATGAATTAAAAAATTCATTAAGTGCTTAACATTTGTTCTAAAAAATGCCCATGTTACTATTTTAAATAAAACAACTAGAAAATGCACTTTGTGTTAAACAAAAAAATTTAAAAGCATGAATCAGATTTTTTTTTTATTTATTTATTTTTCGTTTAAAATAACTTATATGATTTGAAATCACCTTTTTAAATAACTTTTTCATAATAATTTGGAATTTCAATTAAAAAAACCAAACTTTAATTAGTCTTACAGCAATTTCTTTTCTTATGGGAACTATATCTTTAACTGATTAAGTAGCATAGTTTTTTTTAAATAGTTTTAAATAATAATAAAAAATATATATTTTTGTGAATGGATTCAATTTAGAAAAAAAAAAATTTTTTATTATTTTTATTATTTTGAAAATATTTTGACTGCATAAAAAGGTCAGATAACTAACTTGAGATTTAAACTTAAGGCATTGTATTAACTCCATGGTTACATAGCAATTAAATAATCCAGTTGTCAGATAAACAAGCAACAATTAAATTTAAAAATGAATAGTTTCAATGATGAAACGTTTTAATTGAAAAAAAATTATTTAATTTTACAAGCAATAATAATTAATTTGTAAAAGCATAAAAAAATGTGGATAAAAAATTATGTTGATCATTTTAAAGAATATAGTAGAATAATTATTTTTTCCTGAAAGGCCCTTTTTAGATTAAAAAAAAAAACTTACCTTCACAACAAACAAAATTGTGCTAAAAATGATGATATTTTTTGGTAATATCTCAATAAATAATTGGTTTTGGAAAGTTTAACTGACTTATCTAAGATATGAACCCTTAAATTTAGAAAAATGCACAAAAGAAGCCAGGAGATAAAGATAAAGATAAGAAGTCGCAAAACAATTTTTAAATTTTAGGGATTAAGTGTATCAGAAAATAAGAACTCTGGAAAAACAAGGATTTTGAAAAAAGGAGAATTTGGTTTCTGACCTGACAACAAATATTTATAAAAAGACTTTTAAGATAGTTTATAATACTTTACTTAATATACTATACAGTTATTTTTATATCGTATAGCTATATATTAATAATATTATTACATATTAATTATTAAATATATCAAGTTGTTTATACTACAATTTGGTTTAAATTTCAGTTTAAGAAATTGTTTTAAAAAGAAATTTGCAACTAGAATGGAGGTATTCAATAACAAATATACAAAGTTCAATATTGATACATATTTTTTTTATTTTATAAATAAATTTATGAATATACATAATTTTTTTAATTATTAAATATAATAATATAATTAATCAATATATATATAATTAATCAATATTTTAAATATTATGATTTATTTGAAAAATAAAAACTAATATAAAAAAGTTAAAAATAAAAAGAATTCTTTTTAAGTCTTCCGATTGTGTTTGAAGAGTATAGTTGTGTCTTGTAAAAAACAGCAAACATCAAAAATATTTATGCAGCATTGATGTACCAAAAAGTTTGTTAAAAAAAAATTTTAACCTTTAAAACCTTAAACCTTTTGCCTGTAAAAGCAAACTTTAATAGGCAGCGAGACATAGGAGCAGGTTATAGTAGATTACATATTACTAATACCAGGATCATAATGACCCTGGTACTGGTAACAAGTTATCTAGTATCTAGTAATTCAGACCCTGATTATGACCGTGACCCAACAGAAATCTTGGTGATTTTGTTCCAAATAATCATTATTTAGAAGTATTATCCAGATCAAGAGTTTATTCATACTAATTAAATAGTATTTTGTAATAATTGTGAATAAGAATTGAAAAATAATAAGAATTAAAAAATAATAAGAATTGTAAAAATACTAAATCAAAAAAAAAATTTAATAACAGAAATATTTCTAATACAAACAAAGTTCAGTTTTACATAATGCTCCAAAATATTTAATAATAAATAATTATTCTAAACTATTTTAAATATAAAAGTTTGATTAGTTTGAAATCTCAACAATCTCTTTATTTATGATTTAAAATTTAACATAATTGACAGAAGTTGGATGACTTCCATTGCTGCATTAAGCATATTTTTGTATGGTATTATGTAAAAAGATAATGAATAATTGAATGAAAAAACATAAAATATATTAATAATATATAAAAAGATAAATGAACTTTTATGTTTTTAGTTTTTCAAAGTAAAAAATTTAAAAAAATACTAAATGCTTAACTTACAAAAATCATCTCCACTAAAAAACTGTACTTCATTGTTTACACAACGGCCATTAAGCTTTTCATCAGAAGTCCAAGATGGTGCCCTGATAAAATAATAAACATAGAAGCATTATATTACCTATTTTGTTAATTTTGTTTTTAATCATTGAGATCCACGGTTCCACACTGTGTATGCCTATATGATTATATTTATATATACTCTATTTATAAATATAATCATATAGACTATATATTATATATATATATATATATATATATATATATATATATATATATATATATAAATATATATATATATATATATATATATATATATATATACATATATATATATATATATATATATATCAGGAGCTATTCTAGACCGTTTTCGAGAGCGTCGACCATATTTATTTTGTAACGATTTTTATATAGATTAGACACTATATATATTATATATACACTAAATATAATATATAATATATAGTCAATATGATTATATTTAGTGTTAATGATTATATCTCAGCTGTATTAATATGTCTACACAACTATAAACTATAGTCATATATTGCTAAGTCATATTTTACAGAAGGTAAAACATATATAGGATTGAAGCAATAGTTTTGAAAACATCGACATTGCATGCTGTAAACTGCTTAACTTGCGCTTCATATGAGAACATGACATGTTGCCACATTTTAACAGCCCTATCTATGTGTTCGTTAAAAAATTTGGGGCAATCACAAATATTTTTTTGAGAAAGAAATGGATTTAATGCATCACAGCATGATTACAGTCTGTTGCAAGGCATCTTTAAACTGCACAGGCACTAACATTTACTTACAGCTAATAAATTATTCTTATGGTATATATAAATATGAATAAAATACACACCACCCTGATTGATTTTTATAAATAACACTTCGCATCAATGCACCAGTCTTAATATTGTATATTTCATAGTTGGGACTTCCATCAGGATTTTTTGGTGAAGTATAAAATGGCTCCCAACAAGCAATGTATGTATTATTAGGTGAAAAAACAATTTCTGTAGTTTTTTGCTTTGGAACACTAAATACGATTTCTCCATTATCCATGCTAATCACTTTTAAACTAAAAAAAATCATAAAATAAACAAATAAAAAAATTGTACAATTGTAAAAAAAAAAAAAAAAAAACATGAAAAAATGTTCAAAATACTTTACTCCATCACAATATGCCTGGTATTTACCATCGGAACTAAACACTAGATTTCTTGCATGAGATGTCAAATCTCTAGAAAAGAAAGAAAACTGACTAAACAGAAAATTTAAAGTTTTTGCAAATTTTTTTAAAATGTTATTATAAAAAAAAACAATCTTTTTTTAATTTTTACTTTATACTTGTCTTATATTGAGTTTTATTTATTCTTTATTTTTCTCTTTTAAAAAGACAACCAAGTCAAAACACACATTGTATTTGGATAAAAGAATATGATTAAAAATAAAACATACTCTAAACTCACTGATAAACTTTAATGCAATTTTAAACATAATAACTTACTCCATGCAAACAACATTTTCAGTAAACCCATTTTTCCCTTGAATTAGTGTTACACCTTGTGAGCTTCTTGCTAAAAATTAAAATAATATTTTTAAAAGTAAAAACAAAAAGGCAATAATTTTTAGATAAATATAGATTAAAAAAATCCTGAAACCCCTATATTGATTAGACAAATGTTTATTTCTTTTTTTTTTTAATGTTGAATTTCTGATGTATTAATTTAAATAAAAAAATATTTATGCAAAAAAAAAATTTTTTTTTAAAGAAATATAATGTATGTTTTTTAACAGTAGAAAAATTATTATTCATTTATTATTTAACTAATTTGTTGAATAAGTTACTGAATTTCTATTTTTATTAGCTTTATTAACAGTTACAGTTTTGCCAAAACGTAATAAAAATGTATAAATTAACGATTTTGTACTCAGCAAAATACTATCCTTTAATATCATTTCTTAATATGCTATTTTTTTTTTTTTTAAATACCAAGTAAATTATATATTCTTACAATATTACATATTGTTTTATATTATTTTTTTATATAGATATTATGCTGTTAATTATTTTATGTGCCGTTTATAGATCAAATGTTATTCATATCTTGAAAAATTATACTACCCAGTGAGCTCATGATGTAAAAAAAAGTCAAAAAAATTTGGTCCAATAAAATATACCAAAATTTGCTATTTTTGTTCATGAAGTCCAGGAGCTGTAGCCGAGCAAAAAAACTTTCGGCTCCACAAACCTGCTTGTTAAAATTGTGCAAACTAAATTTTTGAGCTCTACATATATATTTTAAATCTCCAAAAAGACATTTAATCATAAATGATAAATTTGATGTAACTAACTTTCAGGGTAGTTTTACTGCATGACCAAACAAAGCACTTCTTTAGTAAAGCTTCAGCAGTTCAAAGAATCAAATACTTGTAGTCAACACAATACTTGGCAACTTCAAACGATCAAATAAACCTTGTCTTATAGCAAATTACTCATATGCTCTACATATAATATTTAGAGTATATAAAACTTCACGTACATAAACTTTTCTCACCACATTAAATTTGGAGAAAAAAACTAAAAATTTTTTTTGTACAGTTGACGTTTTGGTGCAATTTTTAGTGTGTACTTTGTTAAAACTCATAACAACCCAATCACATTGTTATAAAAAGAAAGAACTCTTCAAAATCAGGTATATAATAAAATACATAAACATAAAAATAGTCATACTTGAGTTAATCTTGTTCATATATGTTAGCAGTTTGAAAATGTTAACTAATGATTATACCTTATAAAAGAGTCTCTCCAGAAGATTTTAACTGTTTTAGACTTTTTCTTATATTAAATGTTTAGTACATTTAATATAAGAAAAAGTCTAAAACAGATAAAATCTTCTATCAAGATAAAATCAGTTATTTATATTTTATTACATTTTTAAATAAAAGCATGCAACCGCCTGCCATTATATGACCACGCAAATAATAACTTTGTTTTGATGATTTGACCACAGCTGTTAACATGTTTTTAGAATTAGAAAATTTCAGTAATGAACTGAAAAAACTTATTTAGACTTAACTAAAAAAAACTAAAAAAAAAAACTTTATAAAAAAATGAAATCTTAATGAAAGAGAAAATCAAAAGAACTTAATTTAAACTAAAACACAAAAATAATATAACTCAACTAAAATAAAACACAAATAAATAAAACACTTATTATTTTATTCATGTTTTTAATTAACATAACACATTTAATGTAAAATGTAAAAAACAAAACGTTTAGAATAGTAAACTTTGAATCTTTTATTTTTACTCATGTTTTTTTATAATATTATGGGAAATTGCTTTAAAATAAAGATTAAATAAAGTTAAAAAAAAAACCTACTTTAATGATTGTTCAATACACACTTTTAATTTAAATTGTGTGTTTTTTTTTCGTTTTTTTTTACTAATTTAAAAATAGCAAGTTTCCATATAAACAACATTAATTGATAATTACAAATTAAAAAAAAATTGGAGGCAATATTGTAACAAATCAGGCAAAATGTGCATATTAGACACAGTTAAAAATTGCTGCTTTTAACCACCTATGTTAATATAAACTATATAAAAATAATTATTGACCTTTATAACGATGCATATAAAAAGCATTTTAAATTTTTTATGAAAAAAGTCAGTCTAGTAATTAAATACTGAGTAATATTACAATTTAAGTAATAAAACAAAAAAACAACCAGCTTCATAACCATATACATCAATATTAAACATCAACATTTTTCAAAGTATTTTATTTGTAAGTCACATTAATGTTACTTAAATTATACTTAACCTAAATTAACTATTTTATGTTCACTTAAAGTGACACATTTGCATAAAGAAAAGCAAAACAAAAATAAAATGTTGACAGACAAAAACTTGATGACTATATAAGGCATTTTTGACATTTGTATTATGACCTTTATACACCTGTTTGTCAGGTATATTTTTCTTAATTAACTCTTAGACAGAATCTATGCATCCAAATATGTAGTTACAAATATGTAAAAGTATTCCAATGGTATTCATGCTTCTTCTCTGTAGGCATTTGACTATCAGTTTATGGGACAACTCTTTTAGAAATAATATTCTTCATTTTTTCAATTTTATCCTAAATTTAAATTGCTGGTAAATTAATACCAGCAATGTTAAGCCTTGTATAAAAAATGACCATAGAGCACCGCCTGATCCTGGGAGCATTTTACCAATAGTGAGATTTTCCCCAGGACTGAAACATTTTTTACTATTATCCTTAAATGTTACAAAAACTATTTAACCTGAGGCCTGAGGGGGTTGTATCCTTTTCTTTGGTTTCCAGTTTTTAGATCATCAAAACAAAGGCAACAATTAAGTGTCTTGAACCATTTGAGGCTCATAACAAGACTGAACTTATTAATGCCATTGCCTTTTTCTGAAAAATCATCTTAACTCATCCCCCCCCCCCCCGTGTCATTGACCTTGAGTATAGATTACTATAATTCTTAGATGGTGTCTAACGTTAAAAGATATTTATAGGTAGTTTCATGCTTTCACATGCTTTTAATATTTGGGATAAAAGCCATGACATCATCTTTATATATAAATATATATGAATCTTTTTAAATTTTTTGTTTTCCCAATTCAAATTATATATGATTATAGTTTGCATATATGTTTATATTATGTTCAAAGTTAAAAGGTTTTTGATAAATACGTTTATGTGGTGATATATGCTATATAGTTGTTTTATAAATATGTTTATATAAATGTATTTTTATAATAGTATGAAATGTATTTTATCTAATGTGTATATGATTGTTAAATAAGGTGTTTTTATGTGTTATATAACATTAAAAAAATATATTGTTTTTTATAGTTAGTTTATATCTTTATATAATGTTGTTTCCATAATTTCAAAGTGGTGTGACTTTTTTATTTTAGATTTACGTTATGATGCATTTATAAGATTTATAAAAAAAAAAAACTGATTTCCTTTAATTGTAAATTTTTGTTAGTTAAAAAAATATAAATATATGAAATTAGTTCAATTTTTTTTTATATTTTATCAATTTTATGTCTAATAATTTGTTGTACGTATCTTAGGGAATCTTTGTAAACGGGGGGTCGTAACTAAAAACCTCTAAAAACATGGAGAATATTGTAGTTTTTCGTATTTGTCAAATATTGAGTTACTTAAGTTTTATTTACGTGTTTAACTAATTTGTTAGCTTAGTCTGCATTTGCAACACTTTTGAGGAAAGAAATAAAAACATTCTTTTATATGTAATCATTGTTTTACATTTTGTTATTTTGGTAAAAGGTCTTTATCAAAAACTTGATTACTCTTAATAAAAAAACTCTACTCACCTGACCACCATTAAAGCAAAAAGAGGGGAGGAACCTCTATATTAGTGTCAAAATATTTAGGAAAATTAAATTTCGAGTAACAAAAACGATTTTTAGTAAATGGTAGCAAATTACCTTTTACTAAAAATTAATGAAATAAAGAGGCCAAACAAATAATATAGAAATGGTCTGTGTTAAGCAGAATTAACAAGACCCAGGTCCGGTCAGCTTGGTTTACAAATTTTTTTGTCTACTCATCTGTTACAATTTTTATTTTAGGTTTGTCGTATGATGCATTAATACAATATAAAGATCAATGTTTACATATTTTTTTAAATTTGTGACACACGTGTTTGATTGTAAATTAAATTTTTTTTGTTTGAAACTTATTTATATTCAGTTGCTTAGTTATTTATAATAAACTTAGTTATTTTTAATAAATTCATTTAGTTGTGTGCATTTAACGTTTTTAAGTTAACAATTTTTTTTTTTAAAGAAAACTTAATCAAGGGGATACCAAAAAATTGATAACTTCTGTATAATATAAGTTAACTTCATCTTAATCTTATTATAATTAATTATAATTAAAATTCATGTTGTAAAAATTATTACAAGGATTTAGTTGATACTTTTGTCAATTTAAAGCATGATGAAGTGTTATTTTTTGTGTAAGTAACTAAAAACAAATTTTGTTGAACTTAGGAATGTCGAGAAAAATGGTTCTGCCTTACACTGTTATAACCAGATATGGCAACAGTACATTACCGTTCAAAAATATAGGAAGGTCTAAATTATTGCGATAACGATTGGCCGAAAAAAATTGAGTTTTATCTGAATTAAAGTTCACCAGCCACTGTGAGCCCCATGCTGTTTATACTGTTGCCATATCTGGGGTGGATCTTCTAATGTTGCCCTTTCTCTTTTAGACAAGGTGCAAAAACGCATTGTAAACATAGTTAGACCTACTCTTGCAGCCAACCTTCAACCTCTGTCACATCATCGTAATGTTGCTTTTCTTTCTCTTTTCTACAAATACTATAATAGGCACTGCTTGAAGGAGCTAGCGTCTCTTGTGCCATCTACTAAAATTCATTCTCGGGTCATTCAATCAAGTCTCATCCTTTTTCTGTTACTGTTCCTAAGTGTTCCAAAAACTCTTACTCGTCTAGTTTTTTTCCTTGAACATCAGTTCTTTGGAATTCACTTCCTTCATCTTGCTTTCCTGGTTCATATAATTTGCAATCTTTTAAGTCGTCTGTCAATCGTTATCTTGCTCTACAATCTTCATCTTTTCTCTTCCAGTAACTTTCAACACTAATTCGTGGTTGCTTGCAGTCTTGTTTGAAGCGAATTAAAAAAAAAAAAAAAAAAGAAACTCTGGACTTTTTCCAATTAAGTTACTAAGCTGACAAGCTGATTTACTTCTTGTTTTAGTGGTATATGACATCTTTATATCAATTTTAAAAAAAAAGGATTCCAAAAATTGTTTATGCTCTTTATTTTATTTTACTTCAACTACTAATAAAAGAATAAGTCAGATGCCTTTTACTAATATAGTATATATATATATATATATATATATATATATATATATATATATATATATATATATATATATATATATATATATATATATATATATATATATATATATATATATATATATATATATATATATATATATATATATATATATATATATATATACATGCATACATTTATATAGATAAGGTTTTTGAAAGGCATTAAAATTTAATAACAAAGCATAATAAATTGTAGATTTTTCAACTTGTAAAACAAACAGTTAATAATAAAAAATTTTATTACATCCAAAAAAGTGTAAACATTGCGAAAAGGAGAGTGTATCTTTAAAATATAATTGTTGTTTACACGCTGTTTGTTTAACTAAATTTTGGAATGAAGTATTTTTCGGACTTTTAGTTTTCGGAATTTTAGTTTGCTATATGGTTTGGTAAATGAATGCAATCTTCTTCGGAGATTACGGCAAACTTCAGTTTTTAGAATAAAAAACTGATGTTTTCCAAAAAAATAAAAGTTTGAGAGTGAAAAAAAGTAGCTTAAAATATTTTTTTTTTCAAAAAAAAAATATTTAAATGTTTTGCATATGGATTTACAAAAAAAAAATACTAGCCATCATCAAATTTCAAAAAAAAGTGAAAATCGACACCCCCTAATATGACATACAATCACATGCCTTCATGTGAAAGCCTGTCTGTGAGGGCGTTATAAATTGATTAAGCCATGGCATATCATAATTTCAAAAGGGAACTAAGTGCTCTATAGAAAAGGGGAGTGTGAACTTGTTTCTATGTGTCATTTATCCATAAATCTCTTCCAAAACAATGATATTCTGGCACAAACTACTAATTTTTGGTATGCTTTACAGAGATTACATATTATCTAATGGATAGAAACTAGGTTATTTGGTCAGATGGTCCTGGCTCTGAGTTAAAAAACCAATATATGTGTCATCAAAATCATTTAATCATAATAAAAATTTTAAACTATGTTAAAGAAAAATTCAAGTCACTTTAAAATGTTTGTTTTACATTCAACTACTTTGTTTAAAAAAATTATTGATTTGACTCTTTTTCTTTGTAACTCTTTTTGTTACAAAAGTGCTAATATACAAAAATACTTTATAACTTTATAACTGTTTATAAAAGCCTTGCCGAATAAACCTTTTTTTAAGTAAACTTTATCTAACAAATTTATGAAAAAATGATTTTTTTAGTTTTGAAATTGCTTTTTAACATAAAAAATTTCTTTGTCATTAATTTTTTAGATTGATTATAGAATGAGCGTTGGTAAGAAATGATTAACTAGTTTATGAGATGCTTAAATATTCATTACTTTTTTTCGAAAGGTAACGTATATCCAAATTTAATAAATTCTTAAGAAAAAAGCAAGAACCCTACAAAATATTTTAGGCATAATATATTAAATATATTATGATAAATCTCCAGGTCAGGTCAGGGTCATCATGATCACCCTGCAACTGGTAACTACATGTAAGCTACATGTAATCTAGAACTGCCTGCCTTTTGTCATGCTGCTTTGTACAGAGATCATCTACGTCATTAGGTCTTGTTTTAAATAAAAAATGCCTAATGCATTTGCCTTATGTGAATTTGACGCCATAAAATTCTTTACTTTTTTATTTTTAAAGAATAACTTTTTTTAAGTACAGCAAAACAAGTTAAATGTTATTTAACTTAATTCTTTATTTACTATTAGGGAATGTTTATTTTCTTTCAATTTTTTATTTATATCAAGTAATTAAATTCAATTTTTAAAAATATTTGATATAAACAAATTTATTACTTTTCTTGACATTTGTATAAATGATTTAAAATATGTTAAACTTTTCAAATGATTATTTCTTAAATTTCTAATTGCAGAATTCTGATTTTTTTAAAAAAAAAAAAAAAGATTCGGAATTCATTTCCATCCAGAATTCTGGATTTAGGATTTGTTTTTCTAGGCAAAAGCAAGGAGAAATAATCTCTGACTTAAAATTCCCCTACCTTGAGGTTCTTGTCTTGTAGAAGACTTCCTATTTACTGTTTTGTAGAAGACCTCCAGCTACTGTCTTGTAGAAGACCTCCTAGACAAAGACTTTGGGGGTATGCAGAATTTTGGCTAGTCAACAAAATATAAAATTAGCGACGCTAGTCAACAGAATTAAAAATTTGCTGACTAGCCTTAACCGCTTTTTTCATTTGTTAGACTGGCATAGTAGTAAACCTGTATTGTATTTTTTCCTGCCTAGGATCATGAATGCTAGATCTTCTTGACTCTACTCAGATTTTTTCTTGTGCCTATACAACTCTTCCAGTTATCTCCAAATAAGGGTACAGCTCTAAAACTTACTTTAATGATTTCGAGGCTGGCTGCTAAAAACGTTTCTTAAACTCTGTAGTAGCTCTCAGTGAGATTTATTCCTTCAACAGCTGCAAAATATCCAAATATTAACAGTGGTATGTTGCGCACGGATGGTGCCTGTTAGCGATTTTGGTGAACCACATAAGGAGCCTTAAGTTATGATCTTGGGTTAATTAGCAGGACTGAGGTACCTGCATTTCTCAAAACTCTAAGTCTTGTAGTCCAGATAAGATTCCTGTCATAGTCTTACAAAAGTATTCTTTACAACTCTTTTTAATTCACTTTAAACTATTTAATAAGTGCTTGACTGAATCTTGTTGTATTGTCTGCTATTATATACTATTAGTAAAGTCTTTGAATTTTTAAATAACAAATTTTTAACACCCCATCTTGAGTCTTGTAACTTACAAAATAACTGACAGGCAATATAGTTTTTGATCTTCTTGTTTTACGGCTTACTTACTAACTCCTGTGAATAATAGATTCTATCGTGCATTTGATTGGAGGTGGTGAGGCAAGAGCTATTACTATTGACATATCTCAAGTTTTCTATAAAGTTTAACATGCTGATCTTCTCCAGTAGCTTGATTTATATGGTGCATCTGGATAACTTCTTGAGATTATTAAATTATTTCTTTCTGACTGAAGTATTAAAGTCATCCTTAAAGGCCAACACTCTTTTTCATCATCAGTAACTTCTAGGGTAGCTCAAGGTTCTACCCTTGACCCTGTATTGTTTTTTATCTACATTAATTATCTTCCTGACAATTTTAAATCTAAAATGGCTCTACTTGCTGATGACTCAACTTTTTACACGTGTCTTGACAAAAATTCTTGTCTTTTTTGATCACTAACAGATTGGGGCTTGTAATTTTAACTCCATAAAAACTCAGCTATTTACTGCAAGCAACTATAACAATATTGTAAACATTATTTTATTAATGAATAGCAACTCCCATCATTATAGATATGCTATCATGGTCGCCCTCAAAGAAACTATCTTCTTTATTTCCATCAACCAAAACTTATTTTCAATTAACAATTCATTTAGCAAAATCGCATTCTTTTTCTTTATCTGTTCCTTCATACTCTTGAAATATTTATTCAACAGTTTTTTCCTCGCATTTTACTGCTTGGTTTGTCTCTCTAACCTTCTTGTTTTTCTGACTCATACACCCTATAACTTTTTAAGTATTCTGTCAACCCTTACTCTTTAACTTTAATTTTTGTTCTCTAGGACCTTCCAACTTAATAATGGTTGCTTGTAGTCTTGTTGTGAGTGAATTTGTATTTAAAAATATTTATTTAAATATTTTATTATGATCTTGTTTTATTTATATGCTATAAAAAAATTAACATGGTTGATTGGGATTATAAAAAATTATTTCAACTTTATTTGAAAAATTTAGCTTATTAATACATTAATGATATGCAATCAGACATAACCTAATAAACATTTTAGAAAAACTTACTTGCAAGGATAGGAAGAACATCTACATGCGCCATGCTATATTGGTATGATGACAAAGTTACACGAATTATTTTACGGCGTGAAAACAAACATTTGTAATTCTTTCATTGTTTTCTGCATATAGGTTATTTATTCAATGTTGTACGCTCTTACATAATTTATTTGGGGGCACGTTGTTAGTGTCCATCAATCCCGTACCTGCGTATCCTTTAGAACATGTATTATTTGTTCCAATAAATACATCTAATCTAATCGTTTACGATAAACTTGATCATAGCTTTTTTTTTTTTTTTAGAAAATTCTAGATAAAGAGAACTTTTTTTAGAAATTGACGATTGTGCCCCTCCACTTCGAAACCCGCGTTGTCGGCCATGTTGAGTATTATGAAAACTCCAAACTTATTAAACTAATTATATTCATGCTTATGCTAAGCGAGAATGATTTGCCAAAAACCAAGTTGATTGAAGAATTAACAATTTTTTTTTACTGTTACACAAAATTCAGTGTTAAAAAGTTGTGAGGGCGTTGTAAATTTTATAGGTTTTTTTTGAACGCAAAGTTCATAAGAAAAACTAGTCAATGAATTTAAATTTAGTATCGGTTAGTAAAGAAAAAATATTTTTTAACTCATTCTCATAACAATAGGAGTATGAAGAGCTAATTTTTTTTGTGTATTTTGCTTCCAGACTCCAATCACCGTGATTTTCTATGAAACATTCTTGTTTGACATGGGGCCGACGTAAGCTCATAAGGGAGAGTATGGGGGTCTTCAAATAGAGTATTAAAGCGTATGGAGGGGGAGGGGGAAGAAGGTTCAACATAAAAGCTCATTCGCACTATTATATATTAAAACACATTTTTTTAAAAAATAAAAAAAATTTATGACTTAAGATTACGGGTCCCTGATGGTTGTCTTAAAACTACTGCTTGACTACTTTTGCAGTGTGTTTCGGGTCGTTGTCTTGCTGAAAAATTCATTTTATTGGCATATTCCATTCAGCATGAGGTAACATAACATCTTTCAGGATATTTTATTCATGAAACGGTCCACTACTCCATCGATTCGATGTATTGGACCTAGACCGTTAGCACAAAAACACCCCCAAACTATTACATTGTCTCCACCATGCTTCATGGTTTTATGGCAGTAATGTAAATCGAGGCGTTTTCCGGCCGGTCGACGTGCACGGCAAATGCCATCGCTCCCAATGATGTTGAACTTCGATTCATCACTGAACAGGACAGTTGGCCATTTCTGCACATTCCAGTCAAAATGAGATGTAGCAAACAGGAGTCTTTTCTTCTGGTTCTTTAGTGAAATCACCGATTTCTTTTCATCGCATCAAGAAAACAATCTGGCTTCGACAGCACGTCGTCTGATTGTTCGGTCCGATACAGGCAGTTCTAATTGCTTTTGTATCTCGACTGATGATATCCAGGTATCCTTCTTGACGGATCTGACGATCATAGAATCTTCTCTAGAAGTGGTGGAACGCGGTCTTCCACCTTTATTATCTGCTGCCAACTTCCCCGTAGAACGATATTTGGAACATAGTCTTGATACGGTCCATTTTTCACGCGATATTTATCACAAATTCTTTTTTGTGACATTCCATTTACGTAATCGCAAATAATTTTCATTCTTAGTTCCAATCCAAGACTGTCGGGAGCCATTTTTGCACTTGAAGTCATAAAAATAATAAAAATAAATAATCACGCTTTTCAAGACTTACCATTTTCAAGACTTACCATTTTCAAGACTTACCATACCAGACTTTTCAAGACTTACCATTACCTTGTGATGATACAATAATGCTCTGTGGAACACAACGTCTTGGTTGGATGTGGACTGTATTGATGTAATGAAACACTTGTTGTATTTCACTTCTTGTATTGATGCTTTTCGATAAAACACTTTGATAAAACTCACTTCGATAAACTGTTTTGATAATACTGACCTATTGACTTATATAATAAAATGAACCTCTGTGAACCTGTTCTGGAAGATTCTAGATGCTTCTTTTTGATGATTCTGGAAGCTTCTGGATGCGTCTGGATGCTTCTGAACGTTTCTGGATACTTCTGGATGCTTCCAGATGCTTCTTCTGGAAACTTCTGGAAGCTTCTGCATGCTTCTGGAAACTTCAGGAAACTTCTGGATACTTCCTTTAATTATTAAAAAACTTGATTTTAAAAAGAAAATGAAACAAACCAAAAAAGTTATACTTGTTTTGTCCGCTGCAAAATGGCACTTGTCAACGAAATTCTGCCTGTGTGCTTTCACCTGTCAGCTATTTGCTCATGTCATGACATGCTATGACTCCAGACTCATGAACTGTTTGCTGTGGTAGTATAGTTCGTTTCGTTTTTAAGACATGTAAAATTAGGAACACTTTTTAGCATTATTCGATGTTGGTTGCAAATGTTTTGTCCAATACTATATATATATATATATATATATATATATTAAATATAAAAAATTTCTTTAGTAATGTCGTAGTTCCATAGTGTAGTGGTTATCACGTTCGCCTAACACGCGAAAGGTCCCCGGTTCAAGCCCGGGTGGAACTATTTATTTTCATGAAAGTTCTTTATAATTATTATAAATATTTATTATGTTTTTTGCATTCATTTAATATATATATATATATATATATATATATATATATATATATATATATATATATATATATATATATATATATATATATATATATATATATATATATTATATATATATATATATATATATTATATTCTTTTATATATATATATATATATTATATTCTTTTAATATATATATATATATATATATATATATATTTATATATATATATATATTATATATATATATATATATATATATTATATTTATATATATATATATATATATATATATATATATATATATATATATATATATATATATATATATATATATATATATATATATATATATATATACATATATATATATATATATATATATATATATATATATATATATATATATATATATATATATATATATATATATATATATATATTAAAAGAATGCAAAAAACATAATAAATATTTATAATAATTATAAAGAACTTTCATGAAAATAAATAGTTCCACCCGGGCTTGAACCGGGGACCTTTCGCGTGTTAGGCGAACGTGATAACCACTACACTATGGAACTGCGTCATTGCAAAGAAATTTTTTATATTTCATACAAATTTTTAAGTTTTAAATTGGAATTAAGGCAATTTACAAATTATTCGAATTCTTTTATTTGAAATTAGCATGATTTTATCAGTGTATTATGTCCAAATATAAGCTTTTGATGTTACAATTTTTTTGCTTCAAGTTTTTATAATATTTAAAGAAACTTTTCTTTGTTTATATAATTTTTAAAACCTTTTTACTACCTTTTTTTACCTTACATTCTAAAATTAGAGCAGTTAATTGATGATTTTGTATATCCAATTTGTATATCCAATGATTTTGTATATCCAATTGTTTTGTTTCATCCTCTTTGTATTTTACTTGCTCCTGTAATTCTTTGATAACAATTTAGTGTTTCATTTTTTTAAATTTTTTGTTGCAGCTTTTTGTTGCAACTTATTTTAAAAATTTTTAATTCATCTATATATTCTTAAGTTTGAAACTTATTCAAAAGTGTTACATAATAATTAGTGAATTGTTAAATTTACATTTAGGTTTTATTTAATGTAATGTTTAATATAAAGTTTTCGAAGTGAACGGGCACAATCGTCAATTTCTAAAAAAAGTCCTTTATTTTTAGAAAATTAAAAAAAAAAAAAGGGTCATTTAGAAAAAAAGGCCCTGCCTTCCCTCCCCAATCCTTGAAATTAAATACAATATTTTCCAAAATTAGATTGATACACTGATTTACGTATGCCATTATGTTTTTGTAAATTGTACAGGGTGGCCCATAAGTCACTTTACATTTTAAAAATTAAATAACTTTTTTTCTATTAATTTATTTCTATTTCTCTTTTTAGAATTAAAAAATATAATCTTTGGAAATTTTTAGTATGGATACGTTTACAATAGAACAACGAGTGAAGATAAGTGAATTTTACTTTGAAAATGAACGGTCAATTGTTGCAACGCAAAGATCGTATATGCGCCATTTTAATGTTCGACATCTCCCTAGTAGGCCTGCAATAATGAACTTAGTGACGCGTTTTTAAGAGCATGGCTCTGTAAGTGATAGGACTAAAAGTGGACGAGGTCGTTCAGTACGTACATGTGAAAATACTGAAGCTGTGAGCCGTAGCATTGAAGAGAACCCAACCACATCCACTCAAAGGCGTTCTCAAGAACTTGGCATTTCACGGAGTTCTCTGCAGCGCATTCAAAGAGACTTGCACATGTACCCTTACAAGATTCAATTAGTGCAATCTTTACAACCACCAGATTTTCAGAAACGACTAAATTATGCTGTCAGGTTTCAGAGAACTGCAAGAAATGACAATGAGTTTATTCACAAGTTGATCATGGGAGATGAAGCTCATTTCCATTTGAACGGACATGTGAATAAGCAGAATATGAGATTTTGGGGCACCGAAAATCCACACCAAGGTCATGCGAGTCCATTACACTCAGTTAAAGTCACAACATGGTGTGGAGTAACATCAGAAAAGGTTATTGTGCCCTTCTTCTTTGAAGATGTAAATGAAAATGCTGTGACTGTAACTGCTGAGAAATATCAAGACATGCTAGCGAATTTTGTTCAACCTCAGTTAGCAAACATGGCAGGGTATTAGTGGCAACAAGATGGAGCAACTGCACATACCGCTAGAGCCACAATGCAGTTGTTAATTGCAATGTTTCAGGATCAGATAATCTCTCTTAAATTCGGTTTTGAATGGCCTCCACGTTCTCCTGATTTGACAGCACCAGACTTTTGGCTTTGGGGATATCTTAAAGACAAAGTGTAATAATAATAAGCCCCAAACTATTCAAGATCTTAAGGCAAACATACGACAGGAATTTCTTTTCCTACAACCTCAGATGTTAAGAAGTGTTGTGGAGAATAGCTTAAAAAGAGCTCGACATTGTGAAGACAAGAATGGAGGCTATTTAAGAGACATTATCTTTCGTAACTAAGTCAGAACT